TACATGCGACATGTCTTCTACTATATATAAACGAACAAACAACATTTCATCAAACTTTTGACTATGATATACCTATAGGCGAAAATAAATAGTGATTTTTTTGTCTAACCTCATCACCGCCCAAATTTCATCGCATGGTCACAATTGTCTGGTAGTATTTTATTTTTCATTTTTTTTCTATAAAGCAGAATGATTTAAAATTTAGAGAGTATGTATATCTTACTGAGGCGCTTCTAATAATAATATAAATAAAACAAATTATCTAGGAAAAAAATTGGCCAAATTACCCCCGAAAAGCTTTGGGGGTATTTTGATCAATTTTTTCATATAAAATATTTTTTTTATATTTTTCGAAGATTCTCATATTTTTTATGAATACATGCTCCAAATTTTAGATCATTTTGATTTATATAAAAATAAATAAAAAAATGAAACACTACCAGACAATCATGACCGTACGATGACCTTTGGACGGTGATGGGGGTAGGTGAAATCACTATTTATTTTTGTCTATAGGCGTTGCATAGTATATATATATATATATATATATATAGTAATGATCATGTGAGAACCTCTCACACTCATATGTGTAGGACCTCAAAAGATCACCATTAAATTTGGTGCAGATATTTAGAAAAGTCAAGTCTTATACCCATGTGATAACTTTTCTAGATATCTGTGTCAAATTTCATAATGATTCTTTGGGGTCCTACATACATACGTGTGGAAGGTTCTCATAAGATCATTACTTATTTATATATATATATATATATATCGCCTCCAGTACATAAATTGCCAAATTTGGCAAAGAATCACCTACTTTCATAGTCCAACCACTGACATTCACTTGCAAATTGTCTACAACTTTGGTCCCAAAGCAAATTTGGAGTCCATCCATTGGCATTCATTGCCAGCTGGAAACAATTAAATAGAAACCTTATCTACGACTTTGGTCCGAGCGCTACCTCTCCAAATTTATAAAATATCAAATATAAATAGTGAAGGGAAAAATTTGCTCTAAACTACCTCTCCAAATTTATAAAATATCAAATACAAGTAGTGAAGGGAAAAATTTGCTCTAAACAATCAAATTTGAGCTTATCTCAAAACTTTCACTAGAAGATATTGTTTTGATGCTCAAATATTTTCAAATTGATCATCTTGACATCAAGATACATGGACATGAGAGAAAAAAGGATTTCAAGTTGTGGAAATAGTGTATTTTGTAACGCATTTTTGAACTGTCAATTTTCAAGATTTTCAAGTTTTCATAAATCTATTGATCTACACTATTTTTGAAGCTTTAAACTTTATAAATAAATATGAAAATATATTTTAAGTACAAATATTTTTAGTATTGAAACTACATTTCTCAACACTATTTGATTGTTTGGAGCCTAGGCTCTATACAAACAGCACCCAATAGTGAAAGCACAAGTTTTTGACGAAACAAAACCGGAAACTAAAACTTGCAAAAGTATTATTGTAATGAACACACGCGAGCAACCTCTCTATACTTTCTCCTAATAAACAAAACTGAGATATTTCTCCCTATCCAACCGTCTATTCTAGATGGCTCACAATGTTACGCTCTGTACTATTTTATTTTTAATTTTTTTTAAAATTATTTTGATACCAAATTTTGAGCATCCACTCCTCCTTTAAACTCTCACCAGGAAACAATATCAAAAAAATATTCTCAATAGAATAAGAGCTTGTCTAAAAAGAGACTGTATATCTTTGGGTGTGGTTTGCATAAGGTTGCAACCTTAAACAATCCAATTAAGGCGCACCTCAAAATTTTATCCTTAATGTAATCTTAATATTAGAAATACTTAAGATGGCTTGAGAATCTATTTTTATCTTTAATTATAAAATTTAAAACTCTAAAAATGGTTCAAATCAAGTCCAGATAACGTGTTACAAAATACACTATTTCGCGGACTGGAATTTTTTTTTTCTATTCATATTCATACATCTCGAAGTCGAGATAATCAATTAGAGTTTTCCAGCACTCAAATAACCTTTATGATGGATTTTTGAATTGCACATGTTCTACATTTTTAAAGTTACGACTTTATATAAACTTTCGTTTATCTTTTGTACGAGGATGTCATAATCACTCGGTGTAAGAGTGTCATTGAATAGAGACAAAGTTCAAAAAAGAAATTCTTGAACTTTTTGACTCACCCTAACCATCCAATTTGACATCTAATAAGTGGGAATCGTTGTAACATATTGTACAAAAGACAAATGGTATCTTTGTAGACAATCCCATAAAATAAAATGATCAAAATGCCGCAAAAAGTTTCAAGAGTATTTTGGTCATTTTATTTTATCATTTTTTTAATATATTTTTTAGGTGCATCCCATTGAGATGATGACACCTATCAAATTTCATATCCATATAATTTATAAAATAAATTAAAAATAAAATATCCTAAAGCAACGTCGGATCTAGATCAAACAATCAGTGGCTCACTTAATCAAAATTGAACAGTTGGATGGGAGAAGTATTTATCTTCCATACAATAGGAGAAGTATAGAAACCTTTCCCCACGCACATTCATGTATATACAATTTGAATTCATTGTCAAGAAGCTATTAATAATTCAGAAAATGAGAAAGTTTACAATAATACGCTTTATCTTCAATTGGTTGTCCCATTGGATGCAGCTTCTATAAGGCCTCGGCATTATGGAAAAAGTAAACTTTAGTTTGAAACATCGTATGAAAATTACTTTGGGCATGAAAAGTTGTTGCGATAGCTCCAAAATCTATTTCTACCATCGATTATAAAAATTATAGATAAAAAAGCGGTATAGATATTGTGAATTCATGAACACTTGAAAAGGGACAATATATATAATATGTTACAATATATGTTATTTTTAAAGCTTGAAATCTTTTAATTTTTACAACCATCATAGTCAGTTCGAGACGATCAATTTGAAGGTTTTCTAATACCGGAACAACAATTTTAAGTGAGTTTTGAGGTAAGATTTTATTTTATTTCATAAGGTTTAGGCCTTATTTTAACCTTTTCCTTATTCTAACAAAAAAAAAAAAAGAAGTAGAAAAACTATCATCAGGACTCATGGGCTATGGAACAGTACAGGTCCAATACCTCAAACTAAATCTCATATATCTCTGGATGGGCAACATTATGTGCTATTTGTTAAAAAATTTTTTTTGGAAGAAAGGCTAACTTTCTCACCTTACATACTTGTATATCTCATCTAGTCACTCTAAATTTAAATAAAAAAATTCAATGCCCTATAGAAAATATGGGGTAATATTCTACCATTTGTGTTGTGAATATTAGCCATCTAGGTCACCTTCTATTGTTCCCTAGGAGCCATTCATTGCATAATTACTCCACTTGCTTGTTTGCTTACATAATCTTTGTCCCCAAAAATAAAGTACGATTCTTAATTGATGTGGCGCAACTATTTACCCAAAAAACAAATCTGTCCCAAAAAATAAACTATGATTCTTAAATGAAAAATTAACATAAATATGCCTTATTTTTAAGGAATTTTAAAAAGTATATAAAAAATGTAATGTTTGCAAAAATGTCCCTTTCTTTTGAACCTTTTTTTTTTTTTTTTAAATGCCCTCAAGTTTGCTACTTACAGAGTATTAAACTAAGTCTAAAGACTGAAAATCATGAAAATAATGTTATTGCTAGTATTAAAAATTGTCTTGGCTAATATATTGTTTGGTATTCTCGGTAGCGAACAAAATCTTCCTTTTTTTCTTTTTAAAACACAGAAATCAGTTCGTACTATCAATATCAAACATGATATTAAGCCAAGACAAGGTCGGTACCAAGAGCACTAAACATTATTTTTGTAATTATCAGGGTACAGCTTTAGTTTGGTACTCAAGGACAATTTGTGAATAAACATAAGTTGGAAAAAATGGAACATCTTTGTGAAATTTAGAATTTTTGAGACATTTTCTAAAAAGGTGCGGTTTCAATAAGGTTGCAGCGTAAAACAATCCAATTAAGGAGAACATCTAAATTTTATCATGAATATAATTTTGGTATAAAAAATTCTTTGGATGGCTTGAGAATCTATTTTCATTGCTAATTATGAAACTACTCTTAAAATGGATCAAATCAAGGAGATCTGTAAGCCCATGAAAATCTTGAAAATGGACGGTCCAAAAAATGTGTGGCAAGATACATTATTTTTCGGACTTTAAATCTTTTTTTCTTTTCATATATATATATTTTTTTTCTTTTCATACTGATACATCTCGATGTTGAGATGATCAATTAGCAACATCAAGACAACTTTTTATGATGGATTTTTTAGGTGCATCTTTAATTCTACATTTTAAGCTTTTTTTTTTGTCTAAATATCCTCAAAATTAAGAAATGTTTGCGTTAGTTTCCCTTACTAAAATTAGCAAACCCCATACGAAAATTTTGCCAATTTTCACCCTCCCAAAATTTCTTGACATTGTACCCGAAAATGGTTTGATAGGGCTGCATATCTATCAAAATAAGTAAATCATCACCTTATAACTTACTGAAAATTATAGTTCAAACATTGAAAAATCTTTACAATGATTATCCGGGCATGAACATTATGATTGTAAAGAAATAAAAAAAAGATTTTAAGCTTTTAAAATATTGTATATTGTAACAAATGATCTAGACCGACTATTTTATCCTAAAAAAGTACTACTAGATTAACAAAATTTGTACTATTTTTTAAATTTCAAAACTTTATTGATAGTTTTGAAAATTGATTTTAAACCTGGGGATGTGGGCTTTATTTTATTTTCATGAAACCTAGGCTGCAGAAAAACTTCATTTCCTAAATTAGGGGTGCGTGACTCGGAGGCCAGCACAAGCGTCCATGAATCTCCCACACGTGTTGGACAGTTATGCGCATTGGACCCGCGCAAATTCATTTTCCAACACTACTTTTTAGGAAAGTAATTTACTCAGTCTCTGCACAATTACAATACGAGAAGTTCCCGGTAGAAAAAACTAAAAATTTCACTCTCTCTCTCTAAACTTTCATCTCCCTCTCTCCTTCTTGTATAAGAGTTCAGAAAAAAACTAATTGCTGTCTCTCTCTTCTCTCTCATTACAATTTACTTCATAAAGTCTTGTAAGGATCTCGGAGAACTGAGTTTCTTCCCTCTGCCTCTGCAAATTTTTTGTTCTTTTTGTGAAGAGATCTGAGAACAGGAGGAAAAATGGGGAAATTGAAGTATTTGATGATGAAAACAGATGAGGCGAACTATGACATACTCAATGCTGATTTCAATGAGCTTGGTATGTCAGCTCGGAAGCTTGCCAAACATGCCCTGGCTCTTGGAGGAACAGGCCTTGGAACAGCCATTCTCAAATGGTTTGCTACCTTCGCTGCAATGTGAGTTTCCGCGTCGATGGATTCCTTGCTTTTTCTTTGATATTTGTTCTGTTCTGTTTTTTCTTTTTAATGTCAAGTTTGTGTACGTTCGAGTAATTTATGCGTGCAGTGGCTTTCCTTGCTGAATTTTGATATGCTTTGTTGTTGTTTCTATTCGATTTGGTTTTCAAATGAGTAATTATTTATTTTATCTGAGATAAACTTGATGGATTCCATGATAATTTTTTTCTCAGTTGTTTTAATGGGTCGGGTACTGAGAAATTGGGTCTGGTAGCAAAACTAGGTTGAAATTGAGCAGGTAGTTGGAAAGGGGTAATGGGCGTTATGTTTTTGACGTGTTCGTGATAATTGTGTTTCTGGAATTGCATTTACGGTTGATATTCGATATATTTTAGTCAAATTTTGATATATTTTGATGTTAAGCTTGCTAAGAAATTGATCTAACTTTTTCATTTTTTCTAATTCTGGGTAATACTTCTTGGTATTGGAATGAGATTAACAAATCATTTTTCAGGGACAAAACTAAAGAGCAATATGAATCATCTATTTCTTACTTCTGAAACCTTCGGCTTAATCTCTGTGAAAATTTGTTGCTAGGCCCTGGTTTTTGTAGGATGCGGATTTGCAAATCAAGCTGCTAAATCATATCTAGCATCACATATTGATTTAGTAGTCTACTTTTGTACTAGTTAATTGTTTTACATCGTCTTGAATGTACTTTTTCTTTTTCTTTTTTCACTTAGAAGATCAAGGTCTTAAAGAGTTAATTTTATGATCTATAGAGAACCCAATGGACAGATGTTTTCGAGGAAATTCAGATTTTGTTGCTGCAAGTTATTACATGCCCTGAACTCAAGTTCTAATGAAGCTTCTGAAAACGATAGACTAATTTTGCATTGCTTTTTCAAACCTCCCCTTCCCCCATAATGTGAGATTCATTTCCCCCTACCATTTCTACGAAGTGGATGAACTTGTTGGCCCGGCAGTGATGGATTTTGTGAAAAAAGAGACTGCTTGCTCATTTTTGCTGCAATATATTTGTCATTTTGCCACTCAAAAAATCTATAATGGTTGGCTCTGATGGATTTTTGAAGAAGGCAACAGGTTGATGTTTGTGCTGAAATATTTTGAATCCATTCATTTGTTACACACCCAATCTCTGAGAAATTGATGCCTTATTTCATTATGATTTGATTGATTATGCCAGATTACCAGTAATCTTGATGGTAGAAATGGTTTTTTAAGAAACTTTTTGTTTGCGAATTTTCTAAGTCTGCAACACTCTTTGTAGCCTGACATGCTACAGATGTTGCTGAAACAGACACGTCTTCAAATGAACACAATGTAACACCCGAGTAGTAACTCACAGTCCATGATTCAAACTATCCTGAAGTATTTGATGGATCATCCTGTAACAAACCAAAAAATAACTCTCTCACAGTCCAACCAAAGTATCAAACCCTTACCATTTTTTGAGGATGATACAATTGTAGAGTTTGTCTTGCCTCAAAATATATCTTACAGTAGTTTGCTACTGCTGTTAAACAAAGTGTAAGCTGACATTTAACAAACATCACATTGAGCACTTTATACACTGAGGCATCAACCTTTTTGACACCTCCGTGCCTTGATGACTCTGGGAATGAATGCATACATGTGAGTTTCCATTTAGAATTTCCTCAGGAGTATATTAGTAGAGTTTCCTTGAAAAATAAAAGTGTCTTCCTTGTTTTGAATCACTTCCATCCCAATAAAATATTTTATGAGTTCACATTCAACAAAAAAATGAAATAAAATAAAATAGAATATTTCATGAGTTGGGAGTTGGGAATTGTCATTTTGTGACCATGCATCATAGTTCACGTAATTTCTTCAAGTATTTCTTGAATACTGAAAGTATAAATCAAATCATCAGCAACAAAAATACTATGAACAAATGGTTCTTCCGCTTTTATTCACCTATATACAGAAGGTTCCCTTTTACCAACCTTACATCCAATAGCTTGAAAAAAATGCTTCAAATAGTGTGTCCCATGGGAATGATGCTTGTGTTGAACCATAAAGGATTTTTTTAGTCTAATCGCTTTATTTCCTTTTCCTTCATAACATACATCTCTTCCTCAATGAGTCTTGGTTGTTGCAGATAAAGATTTGGAAAAGTATACAATGAGACCATTTGTCTTTGGTATAAGGTGGTCACAATTAAGCTTGACCATTAGATGTGAAATTGGGCCGATGCATTTAATCCATTGACTAAGCTCAAAGTTCAAAAGAAATTTGCTCGAACTTTCCAAGCTATCAGATTTCACATCGGATGGTTAGAAATAATTGTGACCTCTTTGTACTAAAGGTAAATGGTCTTATTGTATACAATCCCTAAACAATTACCTACAGATCTTGCATTATGTCTTTTCACATAAACATCAGTGTTGAGCTCTGTTTCCAATATCCATTTGGTCCTGCTATCCTCCTTCTTTCATTTGTTTTTGCTTGCTAAAGGCAAGCATTGTTTCATCAACAGCTCTTCATAACTACTTTTTACCAAATTCAATAAATCGAGGTGGATGAAAAACATTTTGTTCACTAAACCATGATAAAGAAATAAGCTCATTCAGATATTCCAAACAAAATAAAAATATTGAGTAAAAAATGGCTTTGAAATTTATTACTGTGCCAATTCTGGCTGTCCATTCAATTTTTGAGCATCGTATGGAGAATTGATTCGTATGAAGCTGTATTGAGCTAATGTTGTGGCTGAGAAAATTGAAGATAAACTTTAGCTTGAGATTATTCTGGGACCTCATGGCCTTGGCATCACATCATATCATGCTTGTTTTTTCTTTTGGGCTCTCTTAATTGATGTATCGAAATTTGGGAGAAGAAACTACTTGCAGCACTAGTCCCCATTGATAAATACATTGATATTGTCCTATGGAAGTAAAGCATCGCTTACAAACCTTAAAAAGAGTGCCTGTCAATGTCATCCATAAGAAAATCTTCTTGATTCCAAGCTAATACAAAATCATCTGTAATATCAGGCAAACATCAATATTTTGCTTGGTGAACCATTGACTTTTCCTGTTAATCTTTGAGCCACAGCAATTACTGAAAAGAACTTAGTGTAGATTGGACTTAAAAGTCATTGTGGGACAATTGATTTTGGAACTTTTTGTTTTTTTTCTTCATCATTCGTCATATGAGAAGTAAAGCATTGCTTACAAACCTTAAAAAGAGTATCTGTCAATGTCATCCATAAGAAAATCTTCTTGATTCCAAGCTAATACAAAAATCATGCGTAATATAAGGCAAACATCAATATTTTGCTTGGTGAACCATTGAATTTTCCTGTTAATCTTTGAGCCACAGCAATTACTGAAAAGAACTAGTGTAGATTGGACTTAAAAGTCATTGTGGACAATTGGTTTTGGAACTTTTTGTTTTTTTTCTTCATCGTTCATCATATGAGAGTTCAAGGTGATTATTATGGAAAGTTTACTTCCTTTTTAAATGCTACCCCTAAATGTTTTTTGTCATGTTACATTTGCAGGTGTACTAGACTCATCTTGTGCTATTTTGATGTATTCATTATTTTGCAGATATTTACTCATATTGGACCGAACAAACTGGAGGACAAACATGCTGACTGCGCTTTTAGTTCCATACATTTTCTTTTCTCTTCCTTCAGTTTTGTTCTCTTTTCTAAGGTGAGTAGTTTCTTTTCCTTGGAGTTGGTGTTGTATTTTATTATTTCTTTTAATTTTTTCATTATGGATTCGCACTAATGATATCATACACAATGCTGCAGAGGAGAATTTGGGAAATGGGTGGCATTCATTGCTATTGTTTTAAGGCTCTTCTTTCCTCGTCATTTCCCAGGTATGGTATCTGTTCTACATCAATCTAATGTCTGTTTCCCTTAGTTTTAAATACATAAGGAAAATGTTTTAGTTGACCTTGTTATATTGCATAGCCGACCCCAATTAATTGGGAAAAGGCTAAAATGATGATGATGATGATGATGAGCTTGTTATATGAATGTAGAACGAGTTTGGCTTCAAAGTTCTTTTTGGCAGCTTGATACTCCAATATCCTAGCCTCAGCTTGCATTACCTTTAGTAATTTTACTGGTTTCTACTTGAACAAAATTTTCGCCCTAATTCTGCATGATTCATTCTTGATCAGTGTTTGAGCATTGTTTATCACAATAGAGCGACCTAATAATGTGAAATGATTTGTGTTTTTTTGGTTGCTTGGTTGTATGTTGTATAAAAAAGATAAAAGCAAAATGAGTTTTTTTTAGTCCGAATTTTTATTGATTTTGAGACTATCGAAAAATCATCTCGGCTTCAGTGAACTCTCTGCTTTAGTGAAATTTCCAAATATGTAACTTGCAAATAATATAGACGAAACGTGTCTAAATTATTGTTTATTTTCTTATTGATATCCTTCGCACTTAACTCATCAAATATTTCATCAGTTCAATGCTCATATTTGTATACTTCCTATGCTTTATGAAGTTGCTCTCCTCGACCTTGATGAACTTCAAAACTACATTCTTATGCATACATTTGAATCTTTTCCTGTTGCAAATGTAAATAAAAGCTACACACAAAAGCATTCTTTTAAAGTTTAAGGTTTAAAGCCCCTTAGTTGTTGTTCTTTAAATACTCTCTCATTCTGAGATGCTGATTTTATGCATGGAATGCCCGCAAGATGAACAAACTTCATTTATCCTGTGCGAGAGATGTGATGAATGCATTGTGACTGAGAGAATCTCCAGACATGAACTTTCTCTCACACCCAATTTTCTCTCACCTACTCCATTGTCGACTACCTTATCACTACAAATTCTCTCTATACTCCTCGAATACAGCTTTCCCATTTATATGTCCATCACATGAATAAACTGAAGCAAAGTTTGAATTCCTAAGAATTTCTTACACTAGACATACCCACCCAAAGATATAAAAGACTCCAACAGACCTTCTCACACTCGAAATCCCCCATGATAGACTCATAATGTCACTCTTGCAATTTCCAAGTAATCATTACTATTGTGCAGATTGGTTAGAAATGCCTGGCTCTTTGCTTCTGCTTCTCGTCGCTGCTCCAAGCTTCTTCGCCCATACTTTGAGAGACAGTGTAGTAGGTGTGGTGGTTTGCTTGATCATAGCTGCCTACCTTTTGCAAGAGCACATTCGAGCTTCAGGAGGGTTCCGGAACTCCTTCACTCAGAGCCATGGCATCTCAAACACAGTGGGCATCATCATACTTTTGGTATATCCCCTTTGGCATCTGGTAGTTCTTTTTACCTAGAATTCGCACTCCTATTTCCCAGTGGTTTGATACTGGCTTAATACTCTTGGCAAAACTATTCCAGTTCTTGTTTATTGTTTGGTCATGTGAACTATAAATTTGTTCCTCTTTTTGTCGTTTGGTTGAATGAATTGGACTCCTGTTGGTGACGTTTGATGGCTTAATTGTGTTAGTTTTTCCTTATGTATGGTGCTTGACTCCATTCAAGTCTGTTGTAATACGCTTCTCTCTCTCATACACACACAAAACAAAGGAAAAAATAGAAACCCCATTTGTCTTCAAGATCTCTAAGTTACTTTATTACATCGATGGTTTCAGAAAACTCTAATTTGAGAGGAAAATTTTGATGGCCTCCATTAAACACAATTAGTACTGTAAATCTATTATCCCTTATTTATCAAATGATCCTACACTCACATGAAAGCATTTGTTCCGTTCATTCACTTGGTAAAATTATATAAAGGAATATTGCAATTTGTGCACGGCTAGATTTTGTCTTTATCATCGTCATCGTCAAAGCCTTTTCTCAACTAATTGGGATCGGGTACACGAATCTTGGTCCACTACTTTACTTTTGTATGGCTAGATTTAAGTGTTAAAAATAATCATTTGATGGTTGTTTAGTGGATCTCAAAATTTTACATGGAAGAAGTCCCCTTGACAGATCATTTGGTGATACTTGGTGGATCCAAAAATTTTATATCGATAAAGTCCTTTTGATAGCTCTTTTTCCCTAGGGAGTAAGTGTACAGTTCTTCCTGTAAGAGCATCATGCTTCAAGTGCTCAGTATCAAAGTAATATTTTATTTGCAATCAGCTTTTGGCTACTTAGTGTGAACTATGAAAGTTTTTATGGTTATTTATAGAACTGTGGAAGTTACTAACAATTAAGGGCGTTTTTACAATCACTCTAAAAACCAGAAGCGATGGCAGGATATCTATTATTATTTAAGAATAGATAATCATTTTTTGAGATACTTGTTAATATTTGAAAGGTGACAATCCAGTGTTATCAATTTCGCTTAGCTTTAAGTCTACGGGTTTTTGCTTCTATACCGAAGCAAAGTGTAGATTGCTATAAAAATAAAATTTTAAAAAGTTACTGATAAGGGAGACATGTCTTTGTTTTTCTTTTCAAAATCTATCAGATCACACTTGAAAAGTTGATTTTTTTGATAATTCTTTTGATCATATTTTAAATTGCTCATAATTTTTTATCAAATGTCAAATAATCCTTTCTTGGCCAAGCACTACTTTCTAAGTGGTGGTGGAGATCTATTGTGGAAAGATCCACAAATGATCTTATGGCTGCATAAGGAATGGATTATGCCGGATTTATTGGAAGAGGAAGAGGAGGTAGAGGACAGTCTCAAATCTGGAACGGGATCCTTGCTTATAAGGAAGTTGTCAGAAATGTGAGGTGGGAGGTGGGTAGGGGTAACTTGATTGATTTTTTATTGATTTTTGGAATCATAAATTGGTAGAACAAAACCTGCTGAAAGTTCAATATAGATAATTATTCAAAATGGTATTTAATAGTTCTCTCAAGGTGGAGGAAGTGTATTCTTGCTCCCCAAATAGGATTGCTTGGGATATTCAACTCATTTACAATAGAATTCCGGATAGCTTGATAAATCAATTTTGCAATCTTACGACTGATTTAGAATCCGTACGCATTTCTTGGAATCATGATGATGAGGTGGTGTGGGAACTAAATAAAAAAGGGGACTTTTCGGTTAAATCAATGTATTCTCTTCTTTTCCATGATAGAGTGAGATGGGAACCACCTAATATTAAAGTAATTTGGAATGGCGTATTCCTCATAAAGTTCACTTTTTTCTTGTGGACTTTATCTCGGAATAAGGTATTAGACGGTGGATAATTTGAGAAGGAGAGGTAAATTAATTGTGAACTGTTGTATCCCATGTAAGGCGGATGAGGAGACAAGTGATCATGTGTTTCTACACTGTTTCTTTATTGGGTCTATTTGGAGTAGGGCTTTTCAGTTAGTTGGTTTCTTGTTATCTCTACCTGAAAGGCATACATTGATCAACTCTCTATTCCCTCTATTCCAAAGCTAGGTACCACAAAATGGCAGATCCTTAGGATGTCTATTCTTTGGGAGGGTGACTTGAGAGGAATAGACATATTTTTGAAGGGAAATGCTTAGAGATAGCTCGGGTTCAAGAGAAAGTGATTCAGAATGTGTATCTATGGTTATCTAATTCAAAGGAAGGTTGTGGTGTTTCTAGGATTGATGTTCTCCTTAACCTCCGCAACCTTATGCATTTTTTGGTTCTCCGGCCTATATGTACCGTCTTGGTGATGGATGTGTGATGCTGAATTTTGATGGTAGTTCCTTTAGGAACCCTGGACCGACGGGTTGCAGTGGAGTTATAAGGAATTCTTTGGGTGCTGAGATTTTATCCTACCATAGGCCTTGTGGGATAGCCACAGCCAATCAGGTGGAAATGATGCCTGGGTGGTTGAGGGATAAAGCTGCTAGAAGAGAGATGATGCCTGGGTGGTCGAGGGAGATTCCCTCAATGTTATCAAGTGGTACTCTGGATTAAGTAAGTCCAAGTCTCTTTGGAATTTAACGAAATTTTGGTTGCAAGTTCAGGATTTATGTTTGAATCGCGCGGTTTCTTTACACATATGTACAGGGAAGCGAATGAGAGAGCTGATTCTTTGGCTAAAAAAGACGTGTTGTAATTTCTTCTGTTGTCGTGTAACTATGTAATCTCTTTTGATTATCAATAAAGATTTGTATGCTTGTCCAAAAACAAAATGTCGAATGATCCTTTAAAAAAGACATCATGAAGGATTTTCTTAACATCCAAAGAAAAATTTCTAACAATCAAAGAAAAATTGAAAGGATATTCTTATCCTTCAAGGTTTGGGAAGAGCTGTTCTTGGGAGGCATAGATTCTAAAAAATCCAGGTCAAGCTTGCACACTGCAAGAAGAGGGGAAGTTAGGGAGCTCGTCTCTCTCTCTTTGGATGGGGTCATTTCTATGATTACTGTACAAATGTTTTATTCTTAAATGTAAATTCAAATAAAGAATTTGGAAATTTGTACATGTTATTGGGGTGCATCTATAAAAATATATATATAAAAAATTAGAGCAATTTTAGGGGTGTTTTGGTTATTTAATTTTTTTAAATATTTTTATATTTTTAATAGAAGGTTAGAAGAATAAACTTCCCAAAATGTAACTTATTTTCGTGCATATAATATTTTTTTTTTTCAAATACTTAGACATGCTGTGATTATATGGTTGAGATCGATAGCTGTTAGGTGAGATCTACAATGTCGACTGCTTGATCATTTCGAAAATGTCGGCCTTTTCATTATCCATTTTATTTTTTATTTTGGGGAATATTAGATGATGAATTTTGGAGTTTGCATGCACCTTACTCAGGCCCATCTTTTAAGGGCTATATAGGCTACTTTATTTTTTAAACATAACTTTTTTTATATTTTAAACATGTGCATGAGGGTGAGCAGCATGAATTCTTAAAATTCTAGCTTAGCCCATGAGAGAGAAAAACCTTTGTTTTTTTTTATTTTGAGAAAATAATTGAGAAGAACTCATATATGCATTCAACCATTTATATTATGGTGACCAATAATAACATCCTAAAAGATTTCCTACTCCCAAAGGAGCATACCATCCATTAATCCCTCGGCCAAAACACATGTTAGAGATATTATTTATATCTCAAAATTTGAGGATGCGATATCTACAACCTATATATTAATCTCAGGAAAATAAAATAAAATAAAATTCCGAAACAAACTTTCTATGGATTAGGAAAAACTAAAGCATCAGGATTGAATAGGGCCATCCAATTTTTGAAGGACTAGAACTACGTGCCACAAAAAAAAAATAGATTAGATCTAAGTGTCACAAAACTCAAAATTCAAAATTTTTTTATTTTGAAAATAATTATCCAGTTATTTTTATGTAGTTCCTAAAACTTTAGACTATCGAAATCTTCCTCAATAGGTGTTTTATGTGAGGGAGTAGATATACAGTATGCTCCTGCGGGAGCAGAATATACATGCTCAAATAACATTACGTTTTGAAAAAAGTTTATATACAGCTGAGGCTCTAAACATTCAAATTAGAGCCCACCTCAAAAAATTTACTAGAAGATGTTGTTTTGATGCCCAAATATCCTCAAATTGATTATCTTGACATCAAGATACATAGACATAAGAAAAAAAAAAGATTTTAAGTTTTAGAAATAATGCATTTTTGAACCGTCAATTTACATCTGTTCAATCTATACTATTTTTGAGGCTTTAAATTTTATAATTAAAGATAAAAATATGTTTTAAGGCTATCACAAAGATTTCCAGTATTGAAACTACATTTCTCAACCCTATTTGAAAGTAGGCTTTACTTAGATTTTTTAGATCTTCGACTCGATACAAACTGCGCCCTTATGTTTTTATGTGATCTAAACCATCCATTTTATAATGTGGATGAGCTATGATTTCAAAATATCATTCAATTAACTAGCATCACTTGGAAAAAGTTTATATAGAGTTGAGGCTCTAAACAATCAAATTAGAGCCTACCTCAAAATTTTCATTAGAAGAGTTGTTTTGATGCTTAAATATCCTCAAATTGATCATCTCGACATCAAGATGCATGGACATGAGAAAAAAAGGGATTTCAAGTTTTGGAAATAGTGCATCTTGCAACACATTTTTTGACAGTTAATTTTCAAGATTTTCAAGTTTTCATAGATCTACTTGATCTACATAATATTTGAAGCTTTAAATTTTATAATTAGAGAGAAAAATATATTTTAATGCTATCACAAATATTTTCATTATTGAAACCATATTTCTCTATACTAATTGAAGGTGGGCTTGACTTTGATTGTTTAGAGCCTCGGCTCTATACAGACCGCACCCTTTGTTTATTATAACTTCAATAAACATTAAAACGGGCTAACTTCCAAATCCCGAGCTATTTATTTCATTCAAACATAGGTTCCTCGACTTCTTAGAACTTTCACAAACATAATATTTTTCCAATCCAGATAATAAATCTTTGATTTTAGACTCCTTAGTTTTTCCGAGTTCCTACTTCCGGTTTTAACTCTTAAGTGGCTAGAGATGAGGTCAGATTGTGCTACTAGGGAGATATTTTCTTTTATAACCC